AACCACAGGAGGGGCCAACCCGAGACAAAGGTGGGACATCTTGGGGAGGGCCCAGGCTCCCACCACCAGGAAACAAGGCCGGGTCCCACAGGGGCGGGTGCCCCCATCCTCTCTCTCCCATGCCTGAAGAGTAGGAGACCCAGGCCAGAAGTCAGTCCAGCCACCTGTCACACGACTGCCTGTGGCTGAAGGTGCGGGAGGGCCTGGGGTCACCCTCTTTGTGTCTTGCGGTGGCTTCAAGGTCTCTGCCCCACTCTCTCCCTCCCACCTCTAGGTGGCTCCGCGGGATCCGGTCCAAACCGCCCTTATGGGGTCACTCAACCAAAACACCTCTCAGCCCCTATGGGTGGCTCCGTGGAAATTCCCTTCTCCTTCTATCACCCCTGGGAGTTAGCCACAGCTCCCAACATGAAAATATCCTGGAGACGGGGCGAATTCCACGGGGAGTACTTCTACAGAACAAGGCCAGCTTTCATTCACAAGGATTCCTGATTTCAGAATATATTAAAAACTATGGTAATCAAAATAATATGGTACTGAAATAAAGACATAAATAGGCTGGGTGCAGTGGCTCACGCCTGTAATCCCAGCACTTTGGGAGGCCAAGGCGGGCGGATCACAAGGTCAGGAGATCGAGACTCCATCGAGGGGACCAAACTCACCATCACCCAGGGTGAGTCCAGCTGCCCTGGCACGCGCCTTCCCCACTGCAGTCAGGGTTTTTGGTGACTGGTGACGTCTTTACATTTAAACCCAGTTGTCTGGATTGAGAGCTGTCAGCATTTCACCTTGCTACCCCTTCCCTGTGTGGGCTTCTGAGAGCAGCTTGCTCATCCTGAATGTCCCCCAATCTAGAAAGCAGCACACCATGCCTTTCACCCTGATGCCCCGCACCCCCAGAAGAGGGTCTGCTCATTCCTCATCTCTCCCCAGCTGTCACGACCACCACCACCTGGAGGCCCAGCAGTGCAACCACCACAGCTGGACTCAGGGTCACAGAAGGCAAAGGGCACTCAGAATCATGGCACCTAAGTCTGGACACTGCTATCAGTGTGGCATTGGCTGTTGCTGTGCTCAAAACTGTCACTTTGGGACTGCTGTGCCTCCTCAGGTGGAAAAGAAGGAAAGGTAAGTGCCCAGGACATGCTGTCTCCTCAAGCCTCCAAGCTGGGGTTTCTCAGAGCCCACCTGCAGCTAAGGGATTTCAGAAATACGCAGACCCTGCTGGCTCCCCTCAAGCCCACTGAGGCCAACTCCGTGGCCTGTGCTGGGGCGTCTGCATCTCGGGGGCTCCTGCAGTGGCGTGGTGCAGGTCACGTGTGACGAACCCCAGCCTCGCGTGCCACGTGGCTCACGCCTGTAATCCCAGCGCACTTTGGGAGGCACAAGGAAATGGGTGGATCAATGAGGTCAAAGAAGATTGAGACCATCCTGGCCCTAACATCGATGACACCATTCTCTCACCTAAAAAATACCACCAAAATTTGCCCAGGCCGCCGGTGGCTCACGCACTGTAATCCCAGCACCTTTGGGAGGCCAAGGCGGGCGGATTCACGAGGTCAGGAGATCTGAGATCACAGTGAAAACCCGTCTCTACTCTAAAATACAAAAAATTAGCTGGGCAGTGGGCGTGGGCGCCTGCTAGTCCCCAGCTACCTGGGAGGCTGAAGCCAGGAGAATGGCGGGACGGGAGGTGGAGCTTGCGCATGAGCCGAGATCCGCGCCACTGCACTCCAGCCTGGACGAACACGAGGAGACTCCACTCTCAAAAAAAAAAAAAAAAAAAATTAGCTGGGCAATGGTTGCCCACAGCTTATAGGACCAGCTACTCCAGAGCGCCTGAGGCAAGGAGAATCACTTGCGAATCCTGGCAGGTAGAGGTTGCAGTGAGTCAAGATCGCATCCACTGCACTCCAGCCTTGGTGAACAGAAACAAGACTCTCTCGTTCTCAAAAAAAAAAAAAAGAAGAAGCGAAAGAGCCGGTGCGCCCGTTGGCTCACACACCGATAAATCCAGCAACTCTTGGGAGGCGCCAGGCGGGCGGATCCACAAGGTCAGGAGAATCGAGACCACGGTGAAGACCCCCATCGTCTACTAAAAATACAAAAAATTAAGCTGGGCGTCGTTGGTGGGCGCCTGTAGTCCCCAGCTACTTGGGAGGACTGAGCCAGGAGAATGGCGGGGAACCTGGCGAGCGGAGCTTTGCAGTGAACCGAGATCGCGCCACCGTGCACTCCAGCTGGGCCGACAGAAGCGAGAGACTACGTCTCAAAAAAAAAAAAAAAGAAAAGAAAAGAAAGAAAAGAGAGCCCCCAGTCCTCTCTACACAGCTGGATCCCCCCAACTACTTCTCTCTCAGTCATCAATCATCTACCCTCCCTTGAAGGTTCCTGGGGAGGGGTGGGTCTTCCCTGGGAAAAGGACAGAGAGAGGAGAAGCGACCAGAATTGGGCTGAGCTCAGCAGGCACTGGCTGACTGCCCACCTGCCATGGCCTGGCTTGAAACTGGAGAAGCAAAGTAGATAAAGCATAGGCTCTGTTCTCAGGGAACTGGGGGTGTGGAGTTGTCAGTTGCCTCAAGGACTAATTGCTTCATTGAGAAAGAGCTATGGTATTGCTAAACAAGGGTAGGAGGAGAGAGAGGTAATCAGGGAGGACTTCCCAGAGGAGGTGACATCTGCAGATGTCTCAGAGAAGAAAAGAATTCGCTTGGCAAGAGGTGAGGGTGGTGTAGAGGTCACTCACTTTCCTTGCGGGTGGAGGAAACCGTTCCAGGAGCTGTGGGAAGCTTGATGCTGGTGGAGGAGGCAGGAGAGGAGAGGAGACAACCTTGGAAATCATATCCAATAGCCTCTGATCCCAGAGGCAGCGTGAGGCAGCAAAGGGTGACCTCAGCTCCGCATGGGAGACCTCAGTCTGTGGAGCAGCGGGCAGAGGTGGGCCAGGCTGGGTCAGTGCAGTGCAGGGGTGAGGCGGAGAGAGGGAAAGGGCCAGATCCTAGAAAATATTAAGTAATAAAAACCAATGAGATTGATTGTTTGCTGTAGGGGCGAGGGAGCAAGAAGAAGTATCCGTTTCCACTTGAGTGCATGGGGCTGTGATGAAACCATCAAGTACAGTAGACAATAGAGGAGGAGACTATGTTTGGAGGGGAACGATGCCTCGTTTAGTTTGGAATCTTTTTTTGTTTTTGTTGTCTTGTTTTGGTTTTTTTTTTGTTTGTTTGTTTTTTGAGATGGAGTTTTGTTCTGTCGCCCAGGCTGGAGTGCAGTGGCACAATCTCAGCTCACTGCAAGCTCCGCCTCCTGGGTTCACGCCATTCTCCTGCCTCAGCCTCCTGAGTAGCTGGGACTACAGGCACACACCACCACACCCGGCTAATTTTTGTAATTTTAGTAGAATGTGTGGCATCTCAGCAGAGTTGTCCTTTGGAAACTTGGATGTACACATTCCCAGTTCAAAAGAGAGGACAAGGCTCCAGGCATCAATGAGTTCTACCTCAATATCCTCCAAACCTGACAGTAAGTTACCATCAAGAAAGTCTTCAAGCCAGGCACAGTGGCTGACGTCTGTGATCCCAGCACTTTGGGAGGCCGAGGCGGGTGGATCACCTGAGGTCAGGCGTTCAAGACCAGCCTGGCCAAAATGGTGAAACCCCGTCTCAATTAAAAACACAAAAAATTAGCTGGGCGTGGAGGCGCACACCTGTAGTCCCAGCTACTCAGGAAGCTGAGGCAGGAGAATTGCTTGAACCTGGGAGGCAGAGGCTGCAGTAAGCCGAGATGGTGACACTGCACTCCAGTCAAGGTGACAGAGCGAGACTCCGTCTATAAAAAGAAAAAAAAGAAAGTCTTCAATGAAAGGAGATTCACCCTATCAGCTAGGAAAGCACAGAGGGGAGGAGCTTGGGGTCAGGGCTGCCTGCAGCCAGATCCTGGCCTCATACCCTCGCCAGGGGACAGGCTCGCGGGTACAAAGGCTGTGTGCCTCAACTTCCTCATGGAAGCACGTGAGATTATTTTATAACCATAGAGTGGAGACAGTCTCAGTATGACCAAACCCAGGAGCCATATATTAAAATATTGATAAATTTAACTATATAAAAAATTTTTTGCCGGGTGCAGTGGCTCACACCTGTGATTCCAGCAGAAAATCAGGAGATCAGGAGATCACAGAAGGTCCAGGAGCTAGTGAGAGAGCAGGAATGGAGAGCAGGGGGGCCGGTAGGAAGCTTGGAGAATCTGCAAAATAGGAGACCACAAAGGAACAAGAGTCAATGAAGTTCAACAAGAGGTAGGGCGGGATAATGACCAAAGACAGAGGGAACACTTCCAGGTTCGTTCTGTGAGGTCAGTAACACCATGACCTGAGAGCCAGATAAAGACCCTGCAAGAAAAACAACACACAAAATACAGACAAAAAGGCCAGTGAATGTTGATGGAAAAATCTTCAGCAAAATTCTAGCAAACCAGCTTTGACAGCACGTTAAAAGGATTGTATACCATGACCAAGTTGGAGTTAGTCCTGGAATGCAGGTATCACCCAAGACAGGAAAATTAATCAATGTAGTGTACCCCATTAATAGAAAAAAGGACAAAACCCACATGATCATCTCAACTGCTGCAGAAAACACATCGGACAAGATTGAATACCCTTTCCTTTTTTTTTTTTTTTTTTTGAGTTGGAGCCTCACTCTGTTGCCCAGCCTGGAGTGCAGCGGTGCCATCTCGGCTCACTGCAACTTCTGCCTCCCGGGTTCAAGAGATTCTTCCGCCTTAGCCTTCTGAGGAGCTGGGATTACAGGCACGCACCACTATGCCCGGCTAATTTTTTATTTTTGGAAGAAACGTGGTTTTACTGTATTAGCCAGGCTGCTCTCAAACTCCTGACCTCAACTGATCAGCCCGCCTTGGCCTCCCAAAGTGCTGGGATTACAGGCTGAGCCACGGTGCCCAGCCTGAACACCCTTTCCTGGTAAAACACTGCACAAACCAGCAAGAGAAGGAATGTACTGCAGCATAATAAAGGCCAGTCATGCAAGGCCCACAGCTGAAAGTCTTTCAGTCATTTTAGGTGAAAGACTGAAATATTTGCCTCCAAGATCAGGAACAAGAGAAGGATGCCCTATCTCACTACTTCTATTCAACATAGGATTTGAAGTCAGGCCAGGCACAGTGGCTCACACCTGTTATCCCAGCACTTTTGGAAGTTGAGGTGGGTGGATTACTTGAGGCTACAAGTTTGAGACCACCCTGGCCAACATGGCAAAACCCCATCTCTACTTAAAAAAAAAAAAAAGATTTGAAGTCCTAGCCAGAGCAATTAAGCAAAGAATAAAAAGGCATCTAATTTGAAAGGAACAAGCAAAATGATCTCTGTTTGCAGGTGACAAGATCTCATATGTAGAAAATCCTAAGTATTGCACAAAAATACCTGTTGAACGAATGAATTCAGCAAAGTTCCAGGAAACCAATTTAACATACAAGCAAAAATGTACTGCATTTCTGTACCATAAACAATCTGAAAAGAAATTTAAGAAAACAATTCCATTTACAATAATATCAAAAATAAAGTAAGATCTTTGGAATAAACCTAACCAGGGAAATGAAAGACTTGTACACTGAAACTACAAAACATTTCTGAACAAATGAGAAGAAGACACAAATAAGTGGATGACATTCTTGTTCGTGGAATGGAAGAATTAATATTGTCAAGGTGTCCACGCCACCAACAACGATCTCCAGATCCAATGCAAATCCTATGAAAACCCCAATGGCATTTTTTTTTGGCTCAAACAGAAAATTCATCCAGAAATTCAAATGGAATCTGAAAGCACTACCACAAACCAAAATAATCTTTAGAAAGGTGAACAGAGTTAGAGGACACGCATTCCCTGATTTCAGAATATATTAAAAACTATGGTAATCAAAATAATATGGTACTGAAATAAAGACATAAATAGGCTGGGTGCAGTGGCTCACGCCTGTCATCCCAGCACTTTGGGAGGCCGAGCTGGGCGGATCACCTGAGATTGGGAGTTTGAGACCAGCCTGACCAACGTGGAGAAGCCCCATCTCTACCAAAAATAAAAAATTAGCTGGGTGCGGTGTCTCATGCCTGTAATCCGAGCTACTCGGGAGACTGAGGCAGGAGAATCACTTGAACCCGGGAGGCAGAGGTTGCAGTGAGCCGAGATCACGCCATTGCATTCCAGCCTGGGCAACAAGAGTGAAACTCTGCCAAAAAAAAAAAAAAAAGATGTAAATAGACCAGTGGAATAGAATACAGAGGAGCCCACAAATAAACCCTCACATAGACAGTCAAATGATCCTCCACAAGGGTGCCAAGATGACCACTCAGCGAAGAATAGTTTCTTCAACAAATGGTGTTGAGAAAGCTGGATACCCTCATGCAAAACATAGAGGTGCATCTCTACCTTATACCACATACAAAAAATTAACTGAAAATGGGTTAAAGACCTCAACGTAAGACCCAAAACTGCCCAATGTCTAGAAGAAAATACAGGAGAAAACAGGGTGATGAGACAAGATGGTAGGTCCTTGCACTATTACCCCCAGACCCACGGTTTATATTCCACAGGGGAAGGATGGTTTGTACTCCACAGTTGAAGTATGATCATATCAAGGTTGTTTGACTCCAGGGCAGGATTTATGATATACCTGCTCTTACACAAGGAATGATAGATCAACTGGAAATCTTAGAGGCCTTCCCAAAACTGGAGTTAATCAGAAGCTGCCATGGCAGATTAGCCTCCAAGATGGAGTTGCCTTAGCCTCCGCAATATTAAAAGTAGAACTACCATATGATCCAACAATCTCACTTCTGGGCATATATTCAACAAATTGAAAGCAGGGTCAGGAAGAGGGGTTTGCACACCAATGTTTGTAGTAGCATTACTCAAAATACCCCAAATGTAGAATCAACTGAAATGTCCATCAAACAAAATATGGTGTCTGTAGTCCCAGCTACTCAGGAAGCTGAGGTTGGGAGAATGACCTGAGCCCAGGAGGTTGAGGGTGTAGTGAGCTATGATTGTGCCACTGCACTCCATCCTGGGTGACAGAGTAAGATCCTGTCTATTTAAAAAAAAAAAAAAAGTTCTGAAAAAAAGAATATTATTAAACCTTTTTTATTTAGTTATTTATTTTGAGACAAAGTCCTGCTTTGTCACCCAGGCTGGAGTGCAGCAGTGCAATCTCAGTTCAGTGCAATCTCAGTTCACTGCAACCTCTACCTCCCAGGTTCAAGCGATTCTCTTGGCTCAGCCTCCTAAGTGACTGGGATCACAGGTGTGTGCCACCACGCCCAGCTACTTCTTGCATTTTTTTTTTTTTTTTTTTTTTTTTTTTTGAGACCGAGTCTCGCTCTGTCGCCCAGGCTGGAGTGCAGTGGCCGGATCTCAGCTCACTGCAAGCTAGCTGGGACTACAGGCGCCCGCCACCTCGCCCGGCTAAGTTTTCATATTTTTTAGTAGAGACGGGGTTTCACCGTGTCAGCCAGGACGGTCTCGATCTCCTGACCTCGTGATCCGCCCGTCTCGGCCTCCCAAAGTGCTGGGATTACAGGCTTGAGCCACCGCGCCCGGCTACTTCTTGCATTTTTAGTAGAGACGGGGTTTCACCATGTTGGCCAGGCTGGTCTCGAACTCCTGACCTTAGGGGATCCACCCACCTCGGCCTCCCAAAGTGCTAGGATTATAGGTGTGAGCCACTGTGCCTGGCCTCAACCTTTAAAGGGAAGGAAATTCTTACACATGTTCTAGTATAAATGAGCCTTGAAGACATTATGCTAAGCGAAATAAGCTAGTTACAAAAAGATAAATAATGTCTGATTCCATTTATATGAGTATCTAGAGTAGCCAGATTCCTAGAAACAGGAAGCAGAAAGGTGGTTGTCAGGGGCATGGAGGAGATGGGAATGGAGAGTTAACATTTGAAGAACATAGAGTTTCAGTTTTACTGGCCCAGTGTGGTGGCTCAATGACTCAAGCTGTAACCAGCACTTTGGGAGGCCGAGGGCAGGGATCACGAGTCAGGAATGCGAGACCATCCTGGCTAACACGTGAAACCTGTCCTCTACTCCTGTCCTACTAAAATACCAAAGCTAGCCGGCCCGTGTGGCAGCAACACTGAGTCCCAGCACTCCGGGAGGTGAGGCCAGGGAATGGCGTGGAACCAGGAGCGGAGCCTTTGCAGTGAGCCGAGATCACGCCACTGCCCACTCACCTGGGTGACACAGTGAGACCTCCGTCTCAAAAAAAAATACAAAAAGAATAACAAAAATTAGCTGGGTATGTGCAGGGCAACCTTAACCCATCCACTCGGAAGCCCCGAAGGGCAGGAGAATCACTGGAACCCAGGAGATGAGTGTTGCCCGTGAGCTGAGATCACGCACGCACTCTAGCCGGGTGGACCAGAGCAAACTCCTCTCAAAAAAAGAAAAGAAAGAGACCTTTGATTCAATTTTCGCAGAGAAAATGTTCTGGATCCCTGTCCCTCAACAACCATGTGAAGACACTAACACTGCCCAAACTGTAACCAAGCCAATGGTTTTAAGATGGTAAATCTTTTTTTTTTTTTTTTTTGGAACAGAATCTC